CAACTCCCCCTTCTCCTTCTCAACCTCGCCCTAAACCCCCTCAAGGGTCCTCCACGTTTGGCACACCACTTCCTGTTACGCCCGGACCCATCTCCCCCCCCCCCCCCCCAAAAAAACACCTTCTCACCCACTTCCTGCATCTCTTCCCCCTTCCTCCACCTTTTGAGTATTCCTGCCTTGCCATTGCAATGGCCCCTAATCCTTCAGAATAGTCCCAAGGAAGGCATCCCAAGGACGTACCTCCGCAATGAAATAATTCAAGACGGTTGACGGTTGAACCCTCAACCTCAGCCTTGAAATCTGAACCCTCAACCTTAGCCCGGACAAGGCTACCTTCTTCCCCCAGGTACAACGTACGGTCATTATAGCTGTATCTAGACTGAAAGATGCCTCAAATACAGCTATAATGACCGTATGTTATATTCGGGGGAAGAAGGTAGGTCTGGTTACAAAGTTAAGGGTTCTAGAACGAGCGCTGGTCAGCGGAGATACAGCAGGCTGAGGGAGTTGGAACACAGTGCGAACTTTGTACCATCTGACGTACAGCCACCCGAGGGAGTTGGAAAGATAGTTCGAACTGCTGGGTTTCTGAAGGATCAGAAAACGTATACCTGGTTTGCTAAGCAGGACGGGGGGGGGGTGCAACAATCCCCATCCTGCTCCAAGGACAGAGTTTATGCCAGCCCGGCGGTCTGCTACAATCCCATCCTGTGCTCCAGGGACACAGTTTACACCAGGTGGTGGACAGTCTGCCGCAGTGCCATCGTCTGCGCCACCCTCAACAAATGACCAGGTTGGTAAATGGAGTTCTCGAACTGCTGACCGGTCTGCGGAAAGAGAAGCGAACAACCAGGGACGGAGTTTCCACGAGCGGGCGGAAGAGCCTGCTGCAGTGTCATCATCTGCGCCGCTTAAGCGTACTGACCGCATTGGAATGCGGGTTTGAAAAGCTGACAAGTCGGCTGAAAGAGAAGCGAACACAAGGGACACAGCTTACACCAGCAGGACAGTCTGCTGCAGTGTCATCGTCTGCTCCTCTTCGACGTAATGACCGGGCTGGAAACGGACGGAGTTCGAACTGCTCTGCAGAGTTCGACACAGAGGAGACAGTCTCGGACAGTCGCATGCTCGGCTCCATTTTTTTTCTCGTGATGACGAAGCTGCAATATGGAACATGGATCAGTGCACATGGATCGCACATTGACTGAGGAAAAGTCCAGTCCAACGAAGACTCCAAGACCCCTCCTGCTGAGGATTGGAAAAGCATTGGTCCTGTCTGCATAGCAGGAGTTTCAAGCTCTCTACTCTGCCCACCTGCTGCTCTCCACATAGCTGGCCATGGAGCTGCTAGCTGTTCTGCAGACCCGTTGCCGAACCAACCTTTTACCTTCAGCATTCAAAACGATCCGTCTTGATGAGGATCACAACGACTTCTCATCACAAGACAAGTTGACAACAACAGAATTTCACAGGGCTCAAGCACTAAATGTGAAAGGGAAGGGCATATGGAGAAAGATAGCATCTGCCCGCCAGTGCTGGCCCGTGGGTGTTTGCATACGGACAGGAGTTGTCTTCGCTGTGCCTCTCCAAAAGCAGCCTCTACCTCCATCCCACCCTCTCTCTCCCCCGCCCCTCTTTCTCTACCTGCCCCCTTCTCCCGATGCTCCTGCATCACTCATCCTTGTCCTTCAGAACGGTAGCTTGGACTACAGTTGATGAACTCCCTCTCTCTCTCTCTCTCTCTCTCTCTCTCACACACACACACACACACACACACACACACACACACACACACACACACACACAACCTCCCGCTCCAGACTGGTTATCATAGTCTCAGACACATTCGACAGACCTCTATCTTCCTCTCCATCCATCCCTTCTTCCCTCTTATATCCCTCTCCGTCCCTCCCTCCCTCACTTCTTCCATCTTTTCTCCCTCTCCCTCCCATGGCTTATGTTGTTCACGTGGCTTTCACCATAGCAGCAGCAATGGTGATGAGAACTGATGATTGTAACTGTGCAAAACTTTCGGTGTCAGGCCAGCAAATGAGAAGAAGAGAAAAGCAAATGATAATGATGGGCGTCTCTTAGGCCTTTTATCTCATAAACGATAGAAACAGGTGTGCCGAACACACATACGTTGACGTTAACTTGATGGTCTTTGAGCAATATAACCAATCGTCGTCAACTCCCAGAGCGAGGGTTCATGGCCTTTTGTCTCATCCTCAGTCATGCATTACTCTCAGATTTGTACCCCGTTCATAGGATTACTGTCCTATGGTTCCCCCATTTGTGGAGACGGTAAACCGTGGCCGTCAAATCGAGTGTGCAAAATTGCTGCCATCAAACCAAGTATATATATCTGATTGCTGTCCTCCAGGCCTGCGTGATCGCTGTTGTGTAACTCACGAGAGTATCCTAATGATAATCATCCTAGCGTTTTCCCCTTCTCCTCCTTCAGTCAACAAGCCAACCTGCCACCGCGAATTGCTGTACGGCACTGTACGGCGTGGGTACGCCATAAGCCTATTTTTGTCCGCAAGTCCGTACGCCATAGGATAACGAAAAAGTGACCAGAGTGGACAGAAGTTCCAACATCGTCGCGACTGCGCTGCAAACCAGCATCCTTTACTCCTTCAAATTATATACTGAATATGGCGAATCGATGTTTCACTTCCGAAGCAGGGAGGGTGGAGGAGGGTGGAGGAGGGAGGAGGAGGGAGAACGAGGGAGGAGGAGGGAGGAGGAGGGAGAAGATTATATACTGAATAGACGTCTCTCTTCCGAAGCAGGGAGGAGGGTGGACGAGGGAGGAGGGAGGAGAAGGGTGGAGGAAGGAGGAGGGAGGAGGAGGGAGGAGGAGGGGATGGCAGGCAAACGGGAGGCGCTCACCGGCATCATCATTGCATACGGATGGAGGATCCTTGATCCATTCAGAGTTCAATCGAATGTGCTCGTTCTGAACGGCGGAACTCGCTACACACATGTCATCACCACAGGTTCCCCTCCCACCTCCCACATTTTCCTTCATTAGCAAATTCTGCACAAAACAGAGAAAAACAAACAAACGAACATAAGGTGTCTCGGTTTATCATATCCCTGTCGCAGACGCATTGAACCAGGACAGAAAAGGGCAAACTGCTAAACACTAAATTGGAACTAAATCCACAATTCCAATTTCTTCCCCCCCTTGTTTTGCTGAATCCACAATTCAGAGATAGCTTCAGTCAAGTTCAGTGTCTTTTTTTCCTTTTTCTTTTCTTAAAAGTTAAAAAGTGACAACCCCTAACGTCATCGTGTTCATCTGATTACAGCAGGTTTCAAACTCGCACTGCGTTTACTGACAGTTACTTGTGCGCAACACCATTCTTGTTGGTGTCCGACAAAAATCATCGACTGATCCTAAGCCGGGCATCTTTTATCTCCAACGAGATCCGCTTCATTTCGTGACAACAAAGCGCTACTTGCGCTACATGACAACCCATGTCATCCTAGACATCAGATAAAGAAAAGGACAGAGGGAGGGGAGGAGAGAAGGGGGGACGAAGGGAGAGACGGGAGGAGAGACGGAGAGAGGGGGGGAGGGAGTGGAGGTCTGCATAACAGTGCACAGTCATTGCATGGACAGTGAGCAGTAAAGCCCGTAGACGTAAAGGAAAAAAAGGAGAAGAAACGGGGGATTGTGACAGACTGTATCGTCGAGTTTCACCAACTCATCAAGAGGCTCACTCTACGAAATACATTGTGTATTATTGTACTACTATATATACTAATCCGACTTATTTACTATGCCGACTTATTTACACAAAGCACACTATGATGGTGTATTTACATTCTGTCTGAGCGATGCTGCCCTGATGCTGTGCATGACACATGCCTCTACACACTCACTAACGGCTTTAAACTTTAAACAGGAAGAAAGTGAAAAGGAGAAGGTGGGTGAAGCACCCGAACGCTCCGTTAGATATTAAAGAAAAAAAAAAGTAAAAAAAAAAAGACTGTTCATAAATGTGCCGGTCTGTTTTTTTTTTTTTTTAACAGGGGAAAAAAGAAAAAGACGCAACATCCTCAACACGTACGAAAACAGGAAGGCAGCAAGCTTGTAACAGTCAGCCGGTGTCTCTTGCCTGATTAGGAAAGCAACCAGCAGGAGCGTTTGTGAGGGAATCTGATTTCGGATTCTGCTTTCACAGCTGGCTGGCTGCCACATCAGTGCTACCTACCCATACCTCTTTTTTTTCTGTCTTCTCCTTCTGGAAGACACTTCAAAGCACAACAGCCAAGATTGCACAACAACAAGTGAAGGTGGCTCGCGTCAGTCGGCTAGACACGGCTGCAGCAAAAAACACACAGCGCAGAATCGAGCTGGTGGAGTAACTGTAGTTTAAAACTTTGAACTTTAAACCATCATTTGCATGAATATGGCCCAAAACACACTCACTGTACATTGCGAAGCTTGCACATCAGAATGATGGAAGACTCGCAAAAAAAAAAAAAAACTACCAGGGAGAGAATCTCTATTTTACTATATTGTCACATATCTGTCAACTAATTTGCGCTAAAAGCCTAAAACTATTAACAAATGTTATATTAATATTATATTATACAATTCCATATATTATAAAATACAAACTACCATAATCTATGTGTACCGTCAAACCGAGATGTATTATTAAACTGTGCAAACGCACCCACCCCCAGCCTATCTGAGGCCATACTCACACTCGGACCTTGTCTATTCCTCTCTAGACGTGATTGCTGTCCGATGCATCCAGGTCTGCCCGCAATTGCAGTCAGATACATTTAGGAAACTTTCCGTGTGAGTATGCCCCCTGAAATATTCTAAAGCCAAAAACTCAAAAAGACTCACTTAAAATTTAAAAATCATCAGTTCAAAGTTCGAACTCGAAACTTGAAAGCACAGTAATGAAACGTTTAAAATAACAGATTGAAAAAACTCGAATGAAAAAAAAAATGAAATTAAAAAACCTAGAGACATAGTAGACACATGCAAACAGCTGTTCCCGCCACACATATGGAAACAAAACAGGTTTCCGACCTGTCAACAAAGAAAGGGGAAGAAGAAGGAAAAAAAAAAAACAAAAAAAAAAAACACAATAAACTTGAATAAACTTCAATAAAGACATGGTCAAGCAGCCCCCTAAGTGTCCGATCAACCACAGTCCAAAACTGGGAGCAGTCGCTTTGAGATTATCGAAGGGAGAAGAGCTGAGTAGGTCTCTTTCTTCTCCCGACTCTTCTTTCTCCTTTCAACTTACAGCTGTGACTTGAATATTGAAAACTAGCCCAAGAAGGAAAAAAGAGGCGGAAAAAAGGCGGGCAGGAGGGCGGGCAGGGGGGGGAAGG